TTAATTAAAGGATTAATTACATGTTCCCATTCTAAGCAGAAAAAGGATGACAAACCCTAAAATGCATCTATTTTGTAATTCAACTATTTAATATAGAACCACATTAAGCATCTATTTTGAGCATTTTCTTTCAAATGACAGGGAAATGCAAAATATACTCAAAGGAATCGTTGGGTAATTTCTAATGCATATATTTTCTAATTCAATCATTAAATATTGAATCGTATTAAGCATCTATGCTGACCGACCATTTTCCTTCAAACAGAAAGAGAAATGAATACTAAAATTCAAAAGAAATGTTGGGTAATTTTAAGTATTATTAACATGTTCGCTTTCAAGGATGATAAACCCTAAAGTGCATCTATTTTTTTTATTCATTCATCATCATTATTAAGCAATTTTTTTTTCAAATGGCAGTAGAAATAATGAAAACTACATGTCAAAGTAAATGTTGGGTAAGTTTAAGGAGTACTAACCTGTTCCTTTTCCAAGCAGAAAAAGGATGAAAAAACCTCAAATACATCTATTTTCTAATCCAGTCATTAAATATAGAATCAACCATTAAGCATCGAGGTGAGCATTTTCTCCAAACAATAGGAAGAATGAAAACTAAAATTCGAAAGAAATTTTAGTAGTTCAATGATCAATAAATAATTGAGCATCTAAATTATGCATTTTCTTACAACATGCTTCCCAATCTTATCAGAAAAAGATGGCAAACCCTAAAGTTTTCTTCGACATCCTAATTGGAAAAGCCAAGGCTGGACGCATCACGATGGAATTATTCGCAGACGTCGTTCCAAAAACCGCAGAAAACTTCCGTTGCCTATGCACCGGAGAAAAAGGAATCGGGCATGCAGGGAAACGACTTCACTACAAAGGCTCCGCTTTCCATCGCATAATCCCAAGCTTCATGTGTCAAGGCGGCGATTTCACTAGAGGCAATGGAACTGGCGGTGAATCAATCTATGGAGCGAAATTTGAGGATGAGAACTTCAAGAAGAAGCACACTGGTCCTGGAGTTCTTTCGATGGCCAATGCTGGGCCTAACACGAACGGATCACAATTTTTTATTTGCACCGAGAGGACATCGTGGCTTGATGGGAAGCATGTTGTTTTCGGACAGGTTGTTGATGGATATAATGTTGTGGAGGAGATGGAGAAGCAGGGGTCTCAGAGTGGGAAGACTTCGTCGCCGGTTGTGATTGAAGACTGTGGGGAGGTGAAAGGGAATTGAGACGTGACCGGTTGTGATTGAAGACTGTGGGGAGGTGAAAGGGAATTGAGACGTGAGGTAGCTGAGGGGTTAAGGTTTGTGAATTTTGTTTGGCTTCATTATGTCAGCGTGGATGGGGTACTGTCACATTTAGATCTTATATGGTTTGCAAACAAAGATTTGGATACTTTCTTTAATCGTAAGACTTTCTCAAGCTGTTTATTTAGATCTTATATGTTGGTGGTATTTTTTCTGTGTTAATTGCTGATAGATCTTTCTGTACTTATATTGTTGTACTTATATTGTTGCAGATAGACCCCCTAGAATCTCTACTTTGTCAGTTCACATTAAGATTGTGCTCCGTAGTACAGGGGATCTATCCGCAATTAACCCTTTTTCTCCCGAGTAGACATCTTGCTTGTCTATTTGCTCCAACCTAAGCATAGTATCATAGCTTGTTACATGACGAAATCTTGTGAGCTACATCGATGAAGTGAACTCCAGCTAGAAGACGGTTATCAAATGAAGGAAAAGAGAACATCGGAAGCAAGAACTCGCGAACCACCCCCATCTATCTAAAATATAACTTCATCCTAAAATTCTTTTCTGCGTTGTGTTATCATCCATCATCACAGTAGAAACCTCTGGCCATCTATTTGCCTCAGCGTACGTATTAACCAAAATCATACAATTGCTTCTCCTGTTGAAGTTCCACATTTGGCATAGATACCAATCAGAGCAAAATCCAGATAGACATCTTTATTAGGTTGCAAAATTGCTTAAAGAACAACAAATCTAGGCATGTCACTGCTGATACATCGAACTCCTTTACAGTTTATAAGCGAACTCCAAACCTCAAAAAGTCAGCATGGAGATCGACTATCTGCCGATTTAAATGTAAATGCTGACCTAACAAGCGAGCAAATTTCTAAAAGTAGACCCGATCATCGGAGGCTGGCAAGCTTTTTAGCACATCCCTGAGAGCGTAATAATGGCTATCACACTTATGGTCAGATATCAAGTTGCCAGAGAGCAGTATCCTCTGAAAATGTTCACCAGGATTCCTCTTCCAAAGTGAATAGGATTCTCTGCTCCTCACACTGCCGCTGCCTTCCTCAATATCTCTCTTTAGGTAATAAAATGCTCCAGGTGTAAAGAGCTCCTCCGGCGTGGCTTCTTCTAGGTTATTAAGAACAATTTTAGCTTCTGACTCCGGTTTTTTTGGCAAAGACACTGGGTTGTTGCTTATGGATATATCTGTTGAAAAAGGGTGGTATCAGGATAACTGATACATAGGTTGCTCTTAAGCAAATAACAGCTGACATTCGAGGAACTTACCTGAGGTTGCTGACATTTTCCTGAATTTTGTATAATCAGAAAGTCTCCGAGCCACATCTTGAACTGAAGAAACAAACTGTTTAGCATTTGTAACTAAATCTAGGATTCCCTTCCAATCTTCCTTCTGTAGAACACTCATCCTGGTAATATCAGAAACCATCAGAATGGAAAATAAGGCACAGTACATTCTTTAAGAGTACAAGGGAAAAAATATTAAGAAAGTTAGAGAAGAGAGTTTATTCCCCTATTGAAAGATTATTTAGTCGTAGTATATTTGTTCCTATGAATATGACTTGACGATCTTTGGTATTTCCTTGTGGCCAATTTGTTACTTCCTCATGTGATTTGCATTGCATTAGAATTATGCAACACTGTGTACCTGCATAATTATCACTTACCAGAGAGATCAGGCAGCAACGTTTTTAATTAGGCTCAAAATCCCTTTTCCAACCAACCAAAACTCCACCCGCCCCCCGCCGCCGCTCCCCGAAACCGCAAAAAAAAAACACCAACCCTACCCCAAAACAACTCCACCCAAAAAAAAAAAGAAAAAAACCATTTGTCACTTCCCAAATTACTTCAATATTCTTTTACTTCCCGTTCTCTGCAGCTTAAAATCTCTCTGAATGAACAAAGATAGTGATCCTTATATAATGATAGAAGAAATGCAAAATATACAAGCCATTAATAGTGGGCGCTCAACGAATCATAATATGTAAACACTAGCAATAGCTATCTATTAAAGGATAAGACGAAGGCATAAGGAATGTGGAAGACCAATATGACATGTGATAGGGATTGGGGACCTTGATAACTATCTTCTACTAAGAATATTTATGTTATGTAAATGCATGATCCTACAAGTTAAACACTATAGTTCATTTCATATTAATATAATCACAAGTCCAGAGATATGCATTTTCATTACTGGTGAAAACATTCAAGGTCTAATACAAACCAATCAGTCTCAAGAATTTCATTTCGCAATCTTCCGAGTGAAGCCACGCTTAACCTAGGAATTATATCATCCTGCAAATCAAGAAAGAGGAATATAAATGAGGCATTATCAAAAACTGAACCACTAAAAGTAGCCAGTGAAAATAAGAAATCAAATACTTTTTACTATTTATCTAACCTGCAACACAACAGTGGAGACATAGCTAGCACACTTTTCAGCTAGCACTTTTGACACACATGGTGGGGTCCCAAATCCAACTGCAGAAACGATGTCAGGGCTGAATCCCAGCTCCTCTTTTGACTTTTTCCGGAGCATAATTGCGAGCAACGCAGCTGCAGCGCCTCCGAGTGAGTGACCCACAATCCTCAACTGAAAGTCCTGCCCATAAATTATGTTTGCAATTATTTTACAGTAACACAAATACGCATTAATTTAAATGGTATTTTGAATACATACCTTGCAAAAATTACCTCGAAATCTCAGTATTTGCAAACCACCCTCCAACTCATCAACTTTGGAAAAAATAACCCCCAAATCAACAAATCATCAACTTTGATAGGCTAATGTGTAATTGCAATGTATAAATATCAATAAAATTGTCACTATTCACTCACCATATCCAATAAATTTGATGATTTTGTTGATTGTGGTTTTCCCCCTAAAGTTGATGATTTGGGATAGTTTTGCAAATATTGAGATTTGTGGGCAGTTCTGCAAATGGGACATGATTTAAGGGGTACATATACAAAAAACCCTAAATTAAAATATTTTAAAGAAGATAGCACGAAGCAATAACTTGCTAGAAGATGTTATCAGTTTTACCTTATGTTTCTCGAGGCATTTTCTTATAGTTCCCATCTCATGGCGAAGGTACCATTGTGCAGCTTCTGCTGTCCCAAAGTGTGTTGAGAAGCCCTCAAAAGACATTTCTTGATCACTTGTGGAAACAACATCAGTAATAAGATCATAGACGGTGTGGGTTCCACGGATTCCAAATATTACTAACTTATTACGTGTATCAATCCCAATATAATATCCAGGTCTCAAGACACTGGAATGCTTCACAAATTTCACAATATTTCTCTCTCGAAGCATGCAATGCCGTGCAAGAGCAGTGGCATTGTCTTTATAAGCCCCCTTTGCTAGCTCAATGTGATAAATGAGCTTTTGAACCTACCAGGAAAGTTTAAATCACTCCTGATGAAATAAAAGGGGAAAAGGAAGTACAGAATGGAATTGTAAATCCAATTGAAAGACGAAAGTTCAGAAATGGTACATGTAGTCAGATATCAAAATCCCCACCCATGCACCCAACACATTCATTATGGACTAGGATTATATGCTTCAGAGTCAGAAAACCAACAAGCTCAAGAAGTTGATAGATACTATCGTAATAGATTCTCAAAAAACACATAACATGATATTTGCTGGGAAAAGTTCTCAGAATTCATATGTTAATGGGTAAATATCACAAAGACCCCTAAACTTTGGGGTGTACTCAATCCCCGCCCCCCCCCCCCCCGGTGCTAATTGCGGCTCAAACAACGGCGACATCATGTCCTGCACAAGCAAGCAACGGCCGGATGCATGCATTAACACCATTTTAAGGCCGCCTCATTCGTCGGAAAACATTTTGCAAAATTTAAACACGGCCGGCTTCTACTCGCAAACTATCCAAAAAGTTCATTGACAGGGAAGGCGGAGTTTTGCGCGGGGATACTTTGTGTGTGTTTACTTTTTTTTTTTTTTTTTTTTGGCCGCGGGGGGGGGCGGGCCGGCGTGGAAGTTCCAAGGTATTTCATGAACTAAGTTCTGGGGGTTTTGTGAAATTTATCCTATCATAATATCTGTTTGTAATAACATATCGAACCATAATGCCATTTGATTTCTGAGACTACTTTTCTGATTCTCAGGCCGAACACCTATTAGAGAGTTCAGGGCTTTAAGATTAGGTATTTCATATCGAATAACATAGTACAGATTTTAAAGTAAAAAGTTCAACTGACTTTTGTATCTGCAATACAAACTAATATATTAATCTTGAAGACAGAGCTACATACTTTCATAACGCAATGCATTATCCAGGGAAAACATTTTAAACAAATTGATAACACTCAACAGCCATAGTTCAAGAAATTACAGTAACATCTGAAGTAATCTGAACACCCTTGAAATCTTCAACCTTCCCTGCAGAAGCTTGGCTAAGATAGATTAGGTACAGACCAACTGTAAGGTCACTAAGGCTCCAGTCTTGGATGCCAGATTTACTCAGTTGAAGCTTTGTAAAAACCTCAGACAGAGACCGAGTACTGGGAGGTGTTACTTGTGGGTCACTATTTCCTGCTAATAAATATGAAGTCAGGGTTTGTGGTAGGAAGTATAGCTGATAAAAGAAATGCTATGTACAAGGCTGAAAATACTACATTAAATATGATAGAAAATTTCATAAACAGATGCTATTTGGTAGGCAGCAGATGTACAAAAACTCCTATATGTCATAATATAAGAAGGCATAATTACATTGTTCTTCTCAATTATACTAATTTACCGATAGCTCTCGCAACTACTAGTTTGCATTAGTGTAGAAAATGGTTATTTTTAAGTGCACATCCCAATTACATATTTATTGACAAGAAATACCCAAGTGTAATCACTTATGTTATTTAGAATCAATCATTTCTCATGATGATGAGATTGAGGATCATGCAGTTTACTGGATTAAATCAGGAATGGTCAAAGTGGAGAAGTGATTCTAGAGTCTCATATCATATGATAATTGCATATCTATAAGTTGAAGGAAAAATTCTATAGGATAACTGCAAACCAACAACACTTTATGGATCAGAATGTTGGCTTAAAAACTATGCAAGAAATGAGTGCAGTAAATATGAGAATGTTACGATGAACTTGTGGTTATCAAAAGGTAAGATGAGAAATGAGCACATATGTAGGAGATTAGAAGGTGCTCCCATTGAGGATAAAATGAGACAGAATCAACTCAGATGGTTTGTTCATCTACGACAGAAGCCACCAATGCACCAATAGTCCTAAAACGCACTTCGTTCGAACTTGGTTGTAAGCAATTAAAAAGGATGTGATAATAGCTAACGCAAGCGATGATCATAATCAAACTGAATGGAAGAACAATAATCTATATAGCCGACCCCTGAAATTTCCAAACCATATAGCAATTGATCTTAGGTAATGCCATCATAAAATATTGATTGAATCATAATTAAAGAGAAACACCGACAACTAATTATACATAAACGGAAGAAACAAAGAACCTGAAGTAGATGCCCACTTGTATAACTGCAAAGCAGGCTCGAGAGCTTTCGACAACCAAGCCAGTTCCAGCTTCTTCCACATCCATCCACTCACTTCATCATCATCCGAATCCTTCACCAGCTCAGGATCATAACTTCCTGGGATCTTCAGCTGAGATTTCTCCCCAAGATTCGAGCTTTTTCTCCCCTCTTTACCCAAGTCAGCATCTTTCCCAATCTTGGCGCTTCCTGAAAGAAATCGATTGAGGATGCTCGACGCAAATCCACGGTAACAGTCTCGTTCCCAAATCAAACTCTTTCTGGAATCTGCAAAGGGCAAAAGGTTAGGGTTTTGAGGTTAGGGTTTTAGGGGGAAGCAATGGAAGGGTATTTACCTAGATGGAGGAGGAGTCGCTTCGCCATTCTCATCTTCAGGAGGAAGAAGGGGGCGGCGCAGAGTGAGGAGACATGTGAAGAGATGCGATAACGTGCGCCGCCTATGCGGCGAACAGCGGTGCACTGCGGGGTCGGGTTTGGGGTCACTTTATGGAGTCGCTGTATTTCCGCGCAGGTTGTTGATATATGTCATGGCGATAAGTAATTTTACTGTTTATTTAGTTACAGAATTAATTAACAAAAGCTAATCCCAAAGTTTGGATTTTTTGGTTAGGGTTTTTCCTATATTAGCGCTCTCAAATCTTCAAAGGTTCGTCCCTCAAGTCATTGAAATTGATATTGGCCAAATTTTACAAGTTGTTTCAGCATTAGACTATTAGTCCGTCGAATTATTGAAATTGCTATCGAGCCCTGCAATTTTTTCACGTTGTTACAAGATTAACCCCTCACCTCAAGTCATTAAAATTTCTACAGGTCCTCTAATTCTTATAAATTGTTTCAAATTAATCCCTCAAGTCAATAGCAGTTGTTGGAAAATACAAGAAGTGAGGGATCTAATAACAATTTCAATGATCTGAGGCACCAATTCAAAATACGAAAGATGAGGGGACTAATACAAAAACACTGATTTTATTATAGCTAACAAAAACCACAACTAATTTGACGGAACACTATAAAGAGAAGACAAGGCTCTGAATTTACCTCACAAATTGCATCAATTGTTTACTTTTTGTTTTATATGATTATTACACTTATCAAAATTTTGTACTTTTTTTTTGGTCAATATCAATGAGATGGAGTTCATACCGTGCGTTCGGAGAATTCTCATTGCCTTCATCTTCCTTTTTCAGCGCACGGCAAGAGTAAGCAAGGCTCTCTTCTTGTTTAAGTTTCTTTTTGTAGTATTTCTTTTTTTATCTACTTGAAACATTTATTCTGCTTATCTCCAATGAAGACATCGAAAGAACGAAGACAGAAAGAAGATGTATGCAAATAAATACTTAAAATATTTAATTTATATTTCATTTACGATAAAAAAAAATATTATCCTAATTTATATTTCAATGTGTTGGGGAATTATAAAAGGGCTGAACGCAAATCATCTAAGACACATAATGATGCTTTCAGATTCTTCTCACCAGTTCTTCAAGTGAGTAATTCTTTTGCAAATTCATGTCCTTCACATATACGACACATCTGCCGCTTGGTCTACTGAATTTTTTTTTTCTAAATATGTCAGCAGATTAAAGTTTTAGTAGCATTGGGTTTAATCTTAAAAGGGTTAGGAGGCTTTCTATTTGTCTCGGAAGTCCTGGTAACTTAAAACTCTCCATGAAATTTGGGTACCATGTTTTATTTTTCAGGTATAATCTTCAAAGTCTACTAAGTATTCTCAATGTGGTTTCTGTATTTGTCAACCACAATGCCTACTTCGATCAATTTCTGTTTACGAAAATTTGGCTGCGTAAACTTCCTTCGGGCATTGTCACAGTTTGCACAGGTCGAATAATTTTGTCACTGCCTGTTTCACCTGTCCATTTCACTCGTTATTCATCGTATATTTGGTATATATGCAAGAGCTTGCGCTTGTGGGTGCATTACTATTTTTCATTGCAATGAAGAGGCCCATTCAAAGAAGACAAAACAAGAAGCGCTCTGAAATAAAGGCAGCTTAGAATGGATATGTTTGCATCCATTTGCCTCATAGGATTCAGATTCTTCAGGTTGAGCTTAAAATGGCTATATGAAGTACAAATGCCATTAAAAAAAATACTATTGAGATGTTTATATTGAGAAGCAATAATCACGTCAATATCAATGAAGAAAAGATTGGAGAAGTTAGTATTAAGCACTGGGCAGCATCTTACAGGACTTGCTTTCAGTCTAATAATACGGCACAAAAATAGAATCCTCAGCGGGTAGCTTATATATATGCCTGGGACTCTAAACTGCTTGTTTTTCTCAATCCACTTGCGATGTTACCAAAATCCCAATAGTGTTGTAAGATCCTATAAATGTCACTAAGAGTCACCACGTTTCAGCTCTGGGCTTCAGCAAGTCTTTGGCGGATATCTTGTGAACACGATATCTTATTGACACTGAAGAAAACACGAAGAAGATCAGTTATCATGGTGTAAATTGCAATAGTTTCACTGAATAATTCTTCAAATTCAAAGAATTTGCAATTTGTGCACCGGCAACACTCACCTGTATAGAAAATCCCCGGAGGGCACCATCTTTGCTGAGATCCAATCTGGGGCCAGTTCTTGCAACAGTTTCAACTGTTGTTCCACTTCACCTGAAGATCCAGTGTGATATTTAGCATTTGGAATATTATCATTGTTTTCTAGAGTGCCAAAACAAGTTACTCAGGACTTACTTCTATCTACTATGGTAGTGCAACCTGAGATTATCTTGTGGACAAGTTCCTGCTTTGTAACAAAGGATCGGTTCCCTGATTGGAATATGAGAAGGATCATGTCGAAAAGTTTAGGTAAACTTGCTAACATCTCTTTACGCTTCTTTGCTTCAGAAGCGCCAGAATTCCTTTCTTCTGCCATTATTATTTCCTTTTCTCGTATCTGAAAATTGTTAACACAGTTAACCCGAATCCTATTTCATAAGGACATGAATGAAAGACATCAGTATCAATACCAAAAGTAAGATCTGCTCCCAATCTAGCATATATTATCAATTCAAGAATGAATTTAATACTGACATCAAGATCCAATCCCAATACTTAGCCCATCTTAGTAATACAGCTAATACATATTGACAATTAATTTGTGCATCCAATAAAATAAATAGCATCATGACAGAATTAATTACGAAAGGGAAGCCATGGTATCAACATTAGTTTTCTAAATTAAGATCTACTCCCAAGACTAGCATATTAGCAATACATAAATGAAATTTATACTAGAATTAAGACTCAACCCCAATACCTAGCAGATATTTGCAATACAGCTAAGACATAGGACTATTAATTTATGCATCCAACAAAGAAATAGCAAAAGTACAAAGTTATTTATGAAAAGGCAACCGTGGGGTGTCGCTGCGCAAAATAGAACCAACAATGAAACATAATTACTTTTACCATAAAACAAAGATGATTTAAGTATACCTCTTGCAGTAGAGTCTCCGGAAGTATGTTGATCACATCATCATCCCCATCTGAAATAGTTACCGTTACTTCTTCTGAATCATCTATTTGTGCACTTTTTTGTGGTGTTGCAAATAACAACTTGGTCCGAGCTGATTGCTTCTCTGGAACCTCCTTAACTGGCGTATAACAATTGGTTGTAGGCCGATGCCTCTTTGGAGTTTGAATTTCTGGTGTGGCCGTCATTAACTTTAATGGAGTTGAAACAAATTTGACAGGAGTTCCATCAAGTTGATTCGATTTCTGGAGTGAACACTTGTCAGTATTCATCAACCTTTTCTTCTCTTTATGAGCACATTGAGTGCTTGATGAGGTTTTTGGAACAGGGGATGTAAACAATGGTTTCTTACAAATGGTTGGCCTTAAATCACATTTAATAGGGGATGATTCAACTGTGATGGGAGAATTATCCCGTGGCATATCTTCGTTTATGCACAAAAGGGATGTTTTCTCTCCATCAGGTATAAGATTTTTCTGAGAAAACCGCTTACAGAAAGATCGTGGAATGTGAGAAGCTGCATTGACAAACTCACGCACATCAGTTGTTGAATTGATTGAAGATGTGGAGTTTCTGGCAATATCTGAAGGTATATTTGGTGTTGTTTGATGACCAAATGGATGTGGAAGTTCCTCCTCTGGAATGTCATCTTGCTGAAAGAAAACTCTTGTACTTAGCATTGAATTACTTTCTATCAAAACGAAGTAGCAAGCAAAATGATAGATATCAGCAAAAGATACTAATAATGATTGTTAGATTATAAAACTATGACTCTCAAGTGCAATGGTAGGGATATTGACATGATGTCAGAGCAACCCAAGTTCAATTCTCACTCCCACCAACTTAAAAGTATTTAAAAAAAGATTATAGAGTTGGGGGAGTTCAGGTTTTGGCCAATAACACGGGCACTCAATCTACAGGGGCATGTTAGATTATAAATCTATACCCTCATCTATCACCAAAACTTCAGAGTTTTGGTGCAGTGGAAGGGTCCTTTGGCAAATGCTTTAATACTAGTAATCATGTTATACAATTAGAGAGGGTTCTTGCAAGCTAACACGTTCAACTGATGAACCAAGCTTACATGAAAACATTTTAATAAACTAAAACAAGCATCCAAATAAGCTTTACCTCGGGATGTTTTCTAAAGAAATCGACAAGCCTTTGCCTGAAAATCTTCCTCAAGATTGAATACCCACTTTCTTCTTCTTTTCTATTCGAGCCGCTCTCAATTGCATCTTTTTGCAGATACAATTGGAGCACCGGCATCATACAGCAAGTAACCTCATCACGCAAAAGCACTTTCTTGATTGAAATTGCTTCAGGCAGTATATATTTCAGTTGTGCTAAATGCCCATACGTAAACCTCCTATAAAAAAAGTAGATTAAACATAAATCTCACCTAACATAACAAATTAAAATCATTTGAATAATAGGATAATTTGATTTGAGCACAGTAAAAATTTACCTTCCAGTTAGATGCTGAATACTGGAACAGATGTTAGCAAATGTAGGTAACGATCTCTTCAACCGAAGTAATCGAATCGAAGACTCCATGGAGTTGAAGAAATCCACTAGAATCTCATACCTGATTACAATTTAAGGCCATCGGATCAGAGAAAACCCTAATTTCATAACATCAAACAAAAATAAAGATTGAAGCTTTACTTTTCAGGGAGCTTAATCAGGGATCTAGCCTTCGAAGATTTCGAAGGCGACGACTCTGCAGATTTAAGCTTTTCCTCCACTGCTAAGAGTTCGTCACCATCGCCAGATTCATTGAGATCTGATCTCCGAGCGATAGAATCTTTTTGGGGCTTTTGAAGGCCTAAAGCTATCTCCTTCACTTCCTTCACTGAGAAAGCCACCTTCGATCGCCTCGGAAGCTGGATCGGCTTCTCCGGCATCGAGATCT